GGAAGAAAATCATTCCCAAAACAACTATGTCAAATCAAAGTAGCATACAACGCAAGATGTTCCACTGGCAGGAAAATGAGTCAGGCAGTGTTTCTTAGCACTGTGAACTGCCATATTAAACCCACCAGTGACAGGTTTTAAATATAGTGGGCCACCTCTGTTTATAATTTCACTATTAAAGTTGGAAATCTCCAACAATTTTAACAGTCATCTGTCTCTCTGAGAACAATATTTGGCTCTCTGCTGATCTGGTTATGCAGGTTCCCTTGAAATTATATAATCCATGTGGAGTATTTTGCAATTTACATGAAGGAAAACAACACTAATTTGAGAAGAAATTGGCCTGAAAAGTTAGCAAAGCACTTGCTGTTAAGCAGCCTAAATTCTGCCATGCTTGCATGCAAAACTCGCATGCAGCAATGCCCTCTATATACCATATTAAGTTCTAAACAAAGAGCAGAAGTTGCAGCATATATTACGTAATGCAAGAAGCAATTATTTAAGACTATGTTCCAATAGGAATGCTCTCACAGACCCCAAGAAGCTTTGGTTCAGGCCATGTTGGATCAAGAAGGCTAAAACTTACGTTATCTATGGAAAATATTTCTAGTATATATATGAAATATAGTAATTTTCAACAGAATACTTATTAAAAGCAATGAAACAAAACTTCAGATAATGTCTAATTATGACGCAGTTACAGAAAATCCATTTACAAGACTCTCTCTACAGACTAAATTCCAAGCTCTTTGAGATCTAAATTGTCATTATCTGTACTAAGGTTCCCTGGACCTTCATGAAACCTTCCCTGCAAACAATTTTTTTTTTTCGTTCAAATAGGAAATTCTATTGAGTAACTGTTAAAAAAGTATTCACTTTCTGTATTTGGAAAAAGGAATTTTTAAAACAGTTTTTTAAAAATTAAAAAAAAAAATCTTTCATCCACTTGTGCCACAGATAATAAATGGTATTATCATCACTCAAAATGTATTTTCTACTAATCCCACTCTTATTCACAATGTAACACCTTAAAGACAATTATAAGGACAGTTTAAACTTCTCTGTCAGTGGAGCTTTTAAATGTGCAAAAGCTAGTAGAAGCTTTTATGCTTCCTGGCAAGTCACTGTACTAATTCAGAAACGGTAATCGAAAAAGACTGTCTTTTAAACCTATTTTCCTTATTTTACTGTTGGATAATGAGAATGGGTGTCTCCTCACAGTTCTAAAGGGATAATCAAATTCCCATTCCCTGAATTTCCTGCTTCATCCTGCCTTGCCTGGTATTTGCAGGGAGCATGAATTTTCCAAAGATCCCAGAAAGATATGGTCACTAGTACTTCACACAGTAAAGAGAGACAAGTGTCGTAAATTTCCTCTCAGTGATCTCATTGAAGAAAGAGATCATTGGGACAAAAGATTATTAATCTCACACACGAATTTTTATTTCAACTACAAAACTTTCACTTAGACAACACACATTTATTTCATCCAATCCAAAATACTTGAAATATAGTAAAGACACCAAGCTGTATCTTGAACCTACCACTTGAACAAACCTAGTGTAACACATCCGATTGTAACATTGAATCCACGTGTATTTTTACATGTAATGTATAGACTTTAAATTATAACATTAAATGTGCACAAAATGGTTATAAACATTGTACTTCATCCACACTGCTGAAGCAACTACTTTACTGTTGGAACATGGCTGTATAATCGATACAGATAGTTGTAAAAGACTTTAGGATCCTTCAGGAGAAAGGGTTATGTTTAAGTGTTGACTGACCATTAGTACCACTCACTGCACCTGTAATGGGAAGGCATGATTACTGTAAAGGCTATTCTCAGGTAGACTACCTTAAGGGTGTGCTTTGGCAGCAGCATCCCAAAAATCCTTTTAACATTTATGTCACACAATCAACATTTTTCAAAAATTTAGTGTTGTTTTAGCATATTAAAAGGATAATGTCAGTGGTTAAGATATGAGGTTTGGGGTTTTGTTTTGTTGTTCTTGTAACTTCACCCTCAAAATAACTAACTGAACTAATGCCAAGGGCATTAGTTTAATATAGTCTAAGATTGAACTTTAAAACTGATCTGACTAGTTCCTGTTTTGAGCCAGTGCCCTAGTGCCTGCTTAACAAGCACAGGCCCCTTTAAAATTTAGGTTTGAACACTCACCTGGATCCACAGGGGCTTTCCAAATCTGAAAAGATTTTTCTTCCTTTTCATCTCTAAATTTTTCAGGCAGGCATTATTTTGTACTGAGCTTTCTATAAAAGCAACTTCACAGTGCTCTACTAGCAAATGCCAACTGTTATTATACATCATTGCTTAGGATCTCTTTTTTTTTTTTTTTTTTTTTTTTTTTTTTTTTTTTTTTTTTTTTTTTTTTTTTTTTTTTTTTTAACTGCACAAATGTGTTTAATGCAAGCGTAGATCCCATCTTTAAAACTGAATGTTAAATTACTAAACAAATGGGTGTTTTAGTGGAAAGACTGACATATTCTTAACTATGGGAGTGTGAATGACTCCAGAATAAGATTACTCAAGTCCATGTAGAATACAAATGCAATACAGGACCACAGGTTCAGATCTTTGATCTCCTTTTTTGCAGAGGCTGTGATGTATAAAGCCAATTCCACTGAGCAGACAGTACTACACTGAATATAAATTATCCTTTAACCATAGCAAGGCACTCTTATGCTCACATTTGAAGAAACGCTGCAAGGATGAACAATGCAGCCATGAAGCAGTAAGAGTTCTGTAGAAAGAAATGCAAACCAAGATCTGAATGGATAACCACGTTCTGGAAAGCCAAATTTGTTCCTCAGCTGTTGCTTGATAAAAATTAAAGGCAAATCCGGAACACTCATACATACAGAAGTATAATTAAAGAATACTGCTTGTTCTTTCTATAAAAAAATCAACTTAGGAATACTTGTTATATTTTCCAGATTAAGCATCATTCCCGTGCGCAGCGTTAACAATTGATTTTGAAACACGGATACTAACAGTCTCAGCTGAACATGGCTTGAAATTTAAACATATCTTGTCCAGATACCTCTTTAGAGGAAGAACCCTCTGCCTACTGAGCTAACACTAAGCTCCCTGGAGTTTAGCCATTAATATTCTAAACTCATCTTTTACAATTCACAAAAAGTCTCCTTTTGCCAAAATAAAACGCTGAAGAGGAATTCAGCCTGCTTAAGCTGCTTTTCTTCATTTTATTTAAAATAAGCATTGCTTTCTCAACTTTATTCTATGCCAAATATACAGTACAAGAGATGCTCAAATGTGGAGCTATTACCTCACTTCATGTACACAGGTCAAATGGGAAAACAAATTACTTCTGACAACCTCAGATATTTTGTTTTGTTATATCCTGTATAATTTTATATTTAACCAGTTCTTTTGCAGTTGTACAGAAATACTAATGAGCATTTTTACAGAAAATTTCTCTACCATCTACGTGGAGTTATAACTTGGATGGTTCTAAGAAACGTTCTCTTTCCCAGTCTGTGACGTTTATTTGTGTACCATTTTCTTTCTTTGTGTGAAAATGTTAGTAATTAAATAAGTAACTTTTATCCTCTCTTACCTCTTTTGACTTGTGTAACCTGACAGATCAAAACTACTTCCACCACTGACAACCAAAAAGTCATAGTCTATCTTTGCCTTACTCTTTCTGTTCTCTGCGGATTGCCTTTCAATAAGACTTGAAGAAGGTGCTCTTTGTGAATCAGTTCTCTGTGCCAGAATGAAATTCAGCAAAAAAATAAGGCAAGGCTGAGTTGATAATATCCACTGTCCTCAGGTCTGCTTCGGTTCAATAAACTTGAACCCTCTTTTGCCAATTGAGATAAGCAGCAACAATTACTTAAAATGAATTATCATCTCAAGCTCAGAAAGACAGGATCAGACGAGTCTAGCCAATCTCTCTCAAGCTTACAGTTTCTTTTAGTGTCCGAGAGGTCCCTGTTTGTCTCTTGTCACATACCTTAGAGCTACTCCTTACAAGCTCCTATGCCAAGGTTGCAAAAGGAAAACGAGATAAATCTTCTGCTTTCCATATCACTGACAAGGCTTCTGCTTGCAACCAGCAGGCTGTAAGCTTTGTGCCATTATGGCAAAAGTCATACATGACCCATCCTTCCCTTCCCAAAATGATAGGAAATATTCTATCCTTGCCTTTTTGCGGTTTCTTCTATCCTTGCCTTTCTGTGGTCTCCACAGCTGAAACCAAGTATTCTTTGGACATCACTGCAATGCCTCTAACCAATTTTATCTGCATCCAGAGCTTGAGTGAATTAAAATATATTTCAGCTTGATCTCTTTTTTATCCCATTCCATTACTCCACATACACAGCAACTTTAAGCTTACAGACATCCCTCCATGGTTCAAGAAAATCCTTCAATCAAAGAACTTCATTTACAATCCTGCATAGTTTTTGCTCTCTCCTCTCTCCACAGCAGCTAGGCATTTTGATGCAATCCTCATTTAATGCAATCTCCATTACAGGATTATGATCACATCAATGAAATGCTCCATATGTTTTTTTTTCCATCCCTCTCCCTCTCTGATTAACACTAGACACTGTATCTGCAAAAAACCACCAAATCAAACACGATGATGGGATGCTCTGGGGAGGTGGTGGGGGGCACGCATTCAACACAATGTAGCAGCCAGCGCAAACTGCCCATCAGAGACCGAGACAGTGGATCCCCTCATTCCTGTCCCATCCCACTGTCCTTCCTGTGAACACGGATCACAAACGTAGTGTACTAGCAAACTAAAAATAAATACATCTTTTGCAATCACTTGCGAGCTCCGTGTACTTTTGACAAGAACAGACTTTCATTTTACTTGACCAGTCCCAGCCTGTTAATACTGTTCCGGCTGCTCTGCCGAGGAGGGGGTGTCGGACAGAAGATATAAAACAGTACAAAAGGCTGTAAGACCCCCCCCCAGCTTCTCCCCAAGCCCCCGTCTTACCTTCAGTTCCCTCTCTGCAAAGGATGCCAGTCCACAGGGGCGCCTCAGCGCATCGCGGCGGCGGCCCG